TCACCTCTTATTTGTAAATAATTAAAGGATATTAAATTACTTTTCATTAATTATCCAGAAATTAAGGGATAAAATGCAAAACAAAATGTCATATTCTAGGCAGACCTTGACTCTCTTGGGCTCCCTGGTGACTGCAATTGTAGGATTTTTTTTCATATCTCTCAAGCCTTTCCTAAAAAGGCTAAAATTGTCTTTGTATTCCAAAGAAGCCAGAGATGGTATTTTGTCAGGTAGGAACCTGTTGGCCTGAATCAATAGGAAAAACAACCATCTACTCTTGGCCATCTTTCGACCTGGAGAAGAACAAAACCATGTGAGAACAAGGAAAATTTGTTGTTGAGATCATAGAATCCACTTTGCATGCTGAAACAAAATTTTGAATCAAGGCATTTCTTCACTAACATGGAAAGGACTTAGCACTACACAAGAATATCAATTAGGCTAGAAGGCTACTGATGGTAAGTGTTAACACCCGATGTATAGCATGATATCAATTATAAAATAAGGCTCTCATTATTATTGCTTCTCCAGCCCTCAAACATATTATAACAAATGTACTCACTGTCTTTTTATCCACTTAGATGAGTTCTCTAAGGGTAAGAGTCCCTGCCTATTTTATGTACCAAGAACCTCAGCATCTAACACAGCACCTGACATACAATAGGTTGCTTCCTTCCTGATGAATGTTGAACAAACAAAATTAATAATTATCTATGAATAATTCCATTATGTAATTAAATGATATTCTTAAAATGGACAAATGATACCAAAAGCCCTTCTTGGGGACACTTAGTTGGAGTGAGGGGATAAGAAATACTTATGCAGCATGCAGTCAAGGGTACTGTCTGGTCTTTGGGTTTTGTTTGCATCCTTAGCAGAGGAAGTCCTGTATGGTCTTAAGGCCCAACAGTGGGAAACAGATACCCAAAATGGTTGAGAGGGAAAGTTTCTATGAAAAATAGGAAATATTACATGCAGTTAAAAGTAAGGCAGACAGGGGCCGGCCCGGTGGTGCACTGGATAGTGCGCCGCTTGGGAAGCGCGGCAGTGCTCCCGCCCGAGGGTTCGGATCCCACATACAGACCGGTTCCCGCTCACTGGCTGAGCGAGGCGCGGGAGCAACACCGAGGGTTGCGATCCCGTTGCCGGTCCCCGGTCCGGTACGGGGGCAACACTGAGGGTTGCGATCCATTGCCGGACACGGAAAAAAGACAAAAAGACAAAAAAAAAAAAAAAAGTAAGGCAGACAAATGGGTTTGAATCCTGACTTTGCTACTTATCAGTTTAGTGAACTTGGGGGAGTAAATTCAACCTCTTTGTGTCTCATTTTCTTTTCTATTTATTTAGTTATTCATTATTGAAACATAGTTGATTGTACATATTTGCTGGGTACAGAGTTGAATATTAATACCAGTGTGCAATATGTGATGGGTCCAGTGATTACTAAACAGGTTGATAAACAGCTTGGCCCCCCTGTGCTTTGTGACTGGGGTGGGGGCTTCTCCATCTGGTCCAGTGATTACTAAACAGGTTGATAAACAGCTTGGCCCCCCTGTGCTTTGTGACTGGGGTGGGGGCTTCTCCATCTGGTCCAGTGATTACTAAACAGGTTGATAAACAGCTTGGCCCCCCTGTGCTTTGTGACTGGGGTGGGGGCTTCTCCATCTGGTCCAGTGATTACTAAACAGGTTGATAAACAGCTTGGCCCCCCTGTGCTTTGTGACTGGGGTGGGGGCTTCTCCATCTGGTCCAGTGATTACTAAACAGGTTGATAAACAGCTTGGCCCCCCTGTGCTTTGTGACTGGGGTGGGGGCTTCTCCATCTGGTCCAGTGATTACTAAACAGGTTGATAAACAGCTTGGCCCCCCTGTGCTTTGTGACTGGGGTGGGGGCTTCTCCATCTTAGCAGATCTAAGATAACTGAGAAAAATGCACTTCTTTAAGTTCTCTTTAAAGTAACTTTCCGAAATGTTTACAATTTTAATAACTTATATGGGGCTTAGTATAATAATACACTTAGGATGGGTCTATGGTGGCCTCTCCCATTGTCCTCAAAGTAAGCAGTACCAGGAGAGTTATTAGTGTTCTCTCTTGGGAATCTTTCTTTTGAAAGTAGCCTAACTTAAGCTTTTCACTAGAAAACCTTAGTGTAGGGCCGGCCCGGTGGCGCACTGGATAGTGCGCCGCTTGGGAAGCGCAGCGGTGCTCCCGTCCGAGGGTTCGGATCCCACATACAGACCGGCTCCCGCTCAGCCAGTGAGCGAGGCGCGGGAGCAACGCCGAGGCTTGTGATCCCGTTGCCGGTCCCCGGTCCGGTACGGGGGCAACACTGAGGGTTGCGATCCGTTGCCGGACACGGAAAAAAAGACAAAAGACAAAAAAAAAAAAAAGAAAACCTTAGTGTAAAGGTCCTATTGAGATTTCAAAAAGATACCTCACTTTCAATTTTCATTTGCCTTTGTGGAAAGAGCCTAGTATAATATCTGATACATAGTGGATGCTCAATAAACAGTCACTGCTATATTTTCCATTCTTTCTTTCTTTCATTTTTTTATCCATCAGGATCATCCTTATCAGTGCCATAGAAATGAGAGACTGCTGCAAGGCCCTGAAGAATAACAGGATGACTGGGACACTGGAAATACTGAGTGAGGTCTTGTTTTTAGTCTACCATCTGCCTTTTCAGGCCTTCAGGGCAAAATATCCAACCACTTTGAACTTTAATTCTCAGGGAGTATTATCTGGAAGACATTCAAACTAGAAAGAGAACTGTGAGCTAAGGTGATCAAATCAAGGTGAAGGATTGGGGTAAGAACAAAGATGATGTTTCTTCAGTCTGGCCTTGGGAGAGGTAGAGCTGAGAGAGAGCAAGAGAACTGAACCAAGATCTCCCCCCCACACACACACGCACACTCTGGCCTTGGGAGAGGTAGAGCTGAGAGAGAGCAAGAGAACTGAACCAAGATCTCCCCCCCCACACACACACGCACACGCACACGCACACGCACCCTTTTTTGGTGCTGACTCTAGGCTATAAGGTGAGTGGTGAATGTGGGGCTGGGATCAGATCAGTCTGTCCTGATAGGATCCCTTGTAATCACCCCTATGACACGGGGGAGGAGTAGCACTGTGGCTGGGGGTGAAAGAACAGAGGAGTCCTGTGGCCTGCAGGGAGTCCTTTCAGGGGTCAAGGATCAGGACAGTCATAAGATCGCTAACTCTTTCAAATCACTTTGAAAACCCTAAGGAAGCTATTGATTGGGATTAGGATGGGAGCAGGAACTGGAGTATGAACCAGGAAAATACTAAAAACATGGACAATTTAATTTCTTTCAAGCTGGTTGAAGACTGAGAAGTTACGTTCCTTTTTCCAAATCAAAAATAAATTGCCATGCCCTTTTTTCATGTTACTCACCATGTCACTGATCGCAAAGGTGACACACTTAACGGTAGCCACGAAGCCAACCCCTTCAGAAGATGGCATCCCTCGGTTCCCCTACGGTACTGAATAACTCCAGTAAATCAGATACAATACCAATAAGTATAACTTCCTTTTACCTCTAGATGAGACAAAACCGATGTGTGACATGAAAGACAGACCATGCTCTTCCAGCTCTCGTCACAGACCTCACATGTAAACACACTTGCCGAGTCAGCAAAGGAGCCACATTCAGGCTGAACAAAACGATGGCCAAAAGCATGGTTCAAGAGCCATACCCTGTGGTTTGAAATGGACTCTGCCCCTGACTAGCTGTATGACCTTGAGAAAGTGACTTAACCTGTCTGTACCTCAGTCTCTCCATCTTTAAAATGTCTGTGTTATGGTTCCTACACAAAAATATTGCTGTGAAAATGAATGAGTCCACGTGTGTATTATGCTCAGCCTGGCATTAGCAGATGTTATTGTCTATTCAGTTCTAAAAAAACCTTACGTCTCTCTCTCATGCATCCGGCTGCCTGTACTTTGTAATATTTTAAGTTCTGGCTCTGTCACTTACTAGGTGTGCACCCTAGGGAAAGTTATTTAATATCCTTGAGGCTCAGTTTCCCATTGTATAAATTGGGGGCAATAATGATTACTTCCAAAAGTTGTTGTGAGGATTAAATATTAATGTTTTTAAAGTATCTCACACATGGAAATACTTAAGTACATGGTAGTTTTTATTTTATCATCTGTAAAAAATGGGATAAGAACAACCCCTGATCTGTGTATCTTACAGATTTTTGTAAGAAGAATGTACATGTAAAAGCAGTATAAAGCAGTATCAGGAAGTTATACACTGAGGAGAATGTAGTGCCTTATGCGATTGTTAATAAATTACTGCCTTTACCATTAGGAAATTGCAGACCGGTCAGTCTAAACAAATCTACCCAAAGCTTGCTTGAGAATAGTTTTTTAATTGACTGAAAACTGCTTTCCAAGTTTTTAGTTTTTAAACAAACCAATATAGGTTGGTAACTAGTAAATTAAGATGTCACTTTATAGTGGGTAGATTTTTGGGGAAGTCTTTGTGGCTTGGGTTTTCTTCCATTTTAATTTAGTAAATACTAACCTGTGTTAGTCCTTGTGGTACTTAAAAGTCTTCTGCATTTCAACCCAAAAGGGATGAGTTCAAGGCACTCCTGGGTTTGAATATAAACACACAAGAGGACTCCCCTTCCTTGAGAGTGGGGTCTGACCTCTAAGGATGTATTTTTCTTTCATATTTCACAACTCGCAAATATAAGTGAGTCCTTCCTGAATTATTTTACATGGGAGTCCCAGAATTTCAATTTTAACTTACTGAATTTGAGGGAAATTGCTTTTTCCTTCTACAGTGCTATTGCAATTCACCAAATAATAATCTCTTTCCTGGAAGTTACCACAACTCTCCACAACGGGAACAATCTAAAAACATGTCCCTTTCTTGTTTTTAACTGCAACAAATGCTAAAATAGCTACCTGTCTGATGTGAAAGTGAATAAAGCCGGACACAGAAGTGAATTAAGATTTCCTCCCAGGAACAGTTCCCACCTGGTCAGTTTGATCCCTCTCATTCCTTTCTCTCCTCAATTAGATTTGGCACTACTGTAACCTGGAATGCACTTTTGAATATTTTGGTTTTCCATTGAAATGCTTACAGCCCAATAGTACCTGCATAAGACTGGGGATCAATAAATGGTTTTTAAGGAAGTTTATTTAGTCTTTGCAATGATGTCTTTTGTAGTGAAATTTCAGTTGGAATCTTCTACTCAATTGTTTTGTTCTCCTTAATAACAAGATTAGAAGGTGTTTTTTTTCTTTCTGGCAGAATAAAATCAGCATGTCCTGGTGAAAGCTTAGGAAAAGTATAATTGATGTATTTTTGAAATGCCGCCCTGGTTTCCTCTAGTTCCTCCTCCAGGAAATCCTTCCAGTTTGTCATGATTCCCAGTTGTTTCGCTAAGGACAGCAGCTCCTCCTGGGTGTTAACCAGTTTATCCATCACATTGCCAAGAGTGGCTTGATGTGTTTTCTCTGCTTCTTGAAGCACTTCCTGTACCTCTTCTTGCCTCTGCCTTTGAGCCATACCATAGTAGATGTTCATTTGATGTTCTTTTGCCTTTATCAATTGGTCCACATTTGATTTCTGGTCCTTAATAACTGCCACACCAGTATTCACAAGTTCCTCAATGGCTTTGCTACAAAAGATAGTATGGATTTATAAGTTAGAAGGATTACCTACTTAAAAAAAATGATTTTGTCTCTAACCACAGATGTATAAGAAATCACGACATTGTCCAGATAAGCCACCAGCCTGAGACAGACTGGTATACATGAACTTCTGGATTGCATTAGCTGTTAACCATCAAAAAATATTTTTAAGAGTGGGGAGGGTGCCCACTGACTTCCCTGCTGGGCTTGGGCAAAACCACTAATCTAACGTAATGGCAACTTTAGGGACCTGGGTCCACATTGTCCAGGAAAATATAAATTCATTGTGCTTAAAAATGAGGAAATAGGGTCAGAGTTCCAAACCCCCAGAGAAAGTTTTTCTTTATATCAATCCAGCTGCTTACCTTTAGCCAGAGGACAGAAAACTTTACACTCACAGGTTAGATTTAGCTTTAATCTTGATTTTATCTGACAGCTGCCTCAAACTTTTTAATCTCAGGATCCCTTTACACTTGGAAAGTTATTGAGAAACCCAAAGAACTTTTGTTTTTATGAGTTGTATCTGTTGACATTAACAGTATTAGAAACTAAAAGTGAGACATTTAAAAAATATTTATTAATTCATGTAAAGTAAAACAAATCCATTATACATTAACACAATTTTTTTCTTATAAAAAACACATTTTCCAAAACAATAAAATATTTGGTGAGGAGAATGGCATAATCACACATATTTTTTTTTCTGCAAAACTCTTTTACATCTGGCTTAATAGAAAATAAGCTGAATTTTCATATTGTTTCAATCTGTTGTGATATCGCACATCATAAAACCCCTGGAAAATGCCATTTTACATTCATTGGAGAAGGAGTGAAAAAGGCCTTATTAAAGGGTCTCAGGGACCCTGAAAGAGCCTTGGACCACACTTTAAGAATCCCTGCTGGATGAGTCATAGACCTCTGCCTATGTATGTAATTATATAAAATTTGTAACAGCTAACAGTATGATCTCTCACCATGTGCCAAGCAGGTCGATGAACAGTCTGTGCATATGTTAACTCAGTGACTCCTCAAAAATGACCCTGTGAGATGGTTCTGTTATTATGCTTACTTTATGATGAGGATACTGAGGCTCAGAGAGTTTATGTAACTTGCCCAAGTTCACTTAATTAGTAAAAGTGGCAAAACCAGCACCATAACCCAGGCAGTCTGAGTCCAGGGCAAAAGCTCCTACCCACTGTGACACACTTCCAGTAGATTTCTGCAGTTAACCTAGTCTGAGCAGAACCTCTAAAGATGTGAGGATTAAAAATATCTGCAAACGTTCGATTCAAATAGTTATGGTTGTTAATAAAAGTCCCTCGCCTCAGCCTCCCAGTCTAATCCAGGCTTTCCAAGATTTACCACCTGCCCTATCTTATAAATTCCATCCTCCAAAATGCAATTCCTCATCTTCTCTGGTTCTTTCAACTTGACTTTCAAACTTGACAGACTTAGCCTCTTAGATACTATGCTATTTCTTTTCTTCCTTTTCCCACCAACTAGGCTCTATCCATTATTAATGACATGGGCTAATGTTCATGGGTACTTACTGTGTCCCAGGGACTGTGCTACTCACTCTACATGCATTATATTTCATTTAATTTTCTCAAGAACCTACTGAAGCTGGTACTATTTTTATTTATTACCTATTATTATTCCCACGTAACACGACAGAAAATTGAGGCTTAGAGAGATTAAGTTGCTGTTCAATGTCACACAGTTGAGCAAATGGGAGAGTTCTTGCCCTTAACCATTACCTGCTTCAATCTCATGACAGGTCACTATAAATGTTTTGTCAGAATTTATAATACAGTGAAGATAACATCTAGAATTGTTATTCTGGTAACAGTGGGTTAACCGAATTTTAGGGGATGAGGTAGAGAGACCAATTAGTATCATTTTATAATATTCTAGAGGTGCAATAAAGAGGGTTTGAACTAATGACAAATAATTCAATACTTTATTAGAGAGAGGGGTAGGAAGAGGCAGAGGAAGGGATAAACCCAAGAAATATCACAAAGTCACAACTCCCAGAATCTGTGACTGCTAGGATATAGGAGATGCAGAAGAAAGAGGAATCAAAACCAACTTCCTGATTTTCAACCTGGGTTGCAGAAGAATGAAGCTGCTGTTATTAGAAGTAATGCCGTCGATAGGGTTGGGTAGTGCCTCCACACACATCCTTACAATTTAGTCTGATGTTTTATAAGATCTTTGTGTTCTTGGTGAGATTGTAAAGGTGATGATCAGGGCCCCTGGGGTCTAGATCAGAATCTAGAGCTGGAAGGAGACTCCTTGACTCAGCCCTAAATCCTCAAAAAGGAAGATGTGCTCCCTTGGTGTCCTCCTCTAGAGCCTCAGCTCTGTCACAAGCAGGTATGAGCTCCCTGCCAGGTCACTTGGCTTTCTCCTCACCCCCACGCAGGAGATGTTCATCTACAGGCTGAATAGAAGGCTTCACCTGAGCTGACTTCAGGTAAAACTGATCCAATAAATTGTATCTTGGACAACTCCAACTCCCAACCCCAATGACAGTTCCTTTTAAACTCCCCGATATCAAAATCTGTTCTCACTATAAGGATCTATTTTTCTTTTTTTGAATGTCCTCTCCACCTTCTCCCAGCCTGCCTTTGACCCTTTGGGATTCACACTTTTTGGCTTAAGGTCAGGGTGTCTCTGAATTTTATTCTGATGATTTCCTTGAAGTTGTGGAATTGGAGCCAGGAGTGAATGGAGGGTGTAGACTGGGGTACCTGTTTATCTTTGTATCTCCCCTACCTAGCATGGTGCCTGGTATGGACACAACAGGCAATCAAAGAATGTGTGAATAAGTAAACGGGGAATCCAGATGTAGTTCTCTCTTGTACATTTTGTTGTGCCAAATAATACCAAATTTTAAAACAGCTAAATTGGAGCATTACAAAAGTTTAAAAGAATTCATACTTATAAAGGAGCCTTAACATAAGCAGAATATTTGCCATAGGAAAATAGTCTATTCTTGTAGTTTACAGGTATTTAAAAAATTTTTTGACTTATACAAATTAGTCTACCTGCATTTTTTCCCCCAAAAGAGGGCCTACAAAGCATATTGTATTAGGAAGGACTGAAGGAACTGTGAATATTAGTACTTTTTTGTTTTTACTTCCTTTTTCCAAACTAAATGTTGGATATAATCTCTCTCCTCAAATATTCAAAGGATCACTGTGCATACAGGAGGGCAGAGCCAGAAGCCCAGGATGGAAGTAAAGGTGAGACCCAGCATATTCTGGACCCACATCAAGAAGAACATGACAAGTGGAGGTGTTCAGCGCTTGAACCAATCACTCAACCAGCAGTAACACTCCTGTCATAGGAGGAGGCACACCAGTGACTGCTGGCATTCAGCAGAAAAGATGACAGGTTCAACTCCATAACCTTTAACACCCATGCCAATATGAAGTGAATGTCTAGGTTTCTTTCAAGTAAGCAGTGAGGTCCATCTGCCACTTGCATCTTTAAGAAGCTATATACTTGGGAATACACACCATATTTAAGGGTGGTACTGGGCAGAAATGCAACTGTTTTCAAAATAGTTGTAGTGTTTGCTCACATCTACAGGATTCAGTCTGATATTTAAAACAATTGATTCTTGGAGAGTGAAAACAGGTTACAGAATAAAAATATAATCTAATATCTAATAACTCAATCTTGCCAGGTTGGGGAAAAAAATAAAGCATGGGAAATCCATACTAGTGATAGATTTGTCCTTTGCGTACTTTAGAACCTCTCTTAGCTCTTCTTCTTGTTATTTCTGGGAGGCTATTGAAATGCTACAAGATATATTGCTCACAGGTTTAAAGAAAAACATCAGTAGGTGTTCTCTCACTTCTACTTATTAAGTGAATGTTTCATTTTCCTTATGTATGTTGCTAACAGCCATCAACCTCCTTTTTATGCCCATCAATAAATATCCTGTATCTTAAGACAATAAGAACCAGTGCTTCATTTCCCCCATAGGCAATTCCTAGATTATGAAGTGATTTGTTCCTAAAATTCATCTGTACATAAAGTGTTTGGAGCAATGTTGAACACAGCACATCGTATGCCTGGTTAGCCCATAATAAGCTATTAATCCATTTTTTATTAGAACTGCAGGGCCATTAAGTATAGCATCAGGTATAACCATTGTGCTTACATGGAAAATATATTCTGGTTTCCACCTGGCACACTGGGAACTCATGGCTCCCTGGTTTGGCAGTAGGATTGATGATACCCCTGAGCTGGGGCTGTAGGTATTATAGAAGTTAGAGGTGTGGGCATTGGCAGTGCATTTATATATCAGAGTTATTAATACTCTTGAACCTAACCTTGGCGCTGCCTCATTAAACATCACACCTTCTCCTTCCATGTCTTTGCTCATTCTGTTCTCATTCTTTTGCCTGTCTCACAAAAGAGACCTCCTACTTCTCCGAACCCAAGACAAACTTCCTCTAAAAAACCTGCCTCACCACATATCCCACCCACATTTTGCTTGATCTTCCCAACTTTGGAGCCTTCCAGTACCTCTGATTTATTTGTAGCGGTCCATCCAGCCTTGCTAATATGGGGCAGCCATGCTTTGGTTACTTCCTGTAATGTCGAGAAAGGGCCCTTATTTCTTTGTGCAAGAGCTTCAGTGCCACATCCACGGAAGGCACTGGTGAAGAGGACAGACCCTCCAGATAACCCACATAACTTCTTCACCCATAGAACAGTGTAGCATAATGGAAGATCACACACTTTGGCATCACACAGGCCAGGGTTCAAATCAGGTCCTGTCACCTCCTTTCCATGTGACCTTTGGCAGTTTGTTTAGTTTCTAAAACTCAGAATCTTAATTTGAAGATGTGCAGAATGACAGAATCCCCCAAGAAGGGATATGAAGACTCAATGAGAATTACACAAATGGCCTTGCATGTGCTGGGTGTTGAATAAAGGGTAGCTCTCATTAGAAATTACAGCCATGACCACAAATAGTCCTGAGTGGTCACTTAATTCATGCTTGCCTTGGGCTAGAAACAATTAGAACCTTTCCAAGGAGAGATGTTTGTATTTTTCAAAAAAACTATAAGAGTCCAATGTCTCCTCAGTAATCCATTTAGAATCCAATCACCTCATCCACAAAAAAGTTTTTTGTACATTAAACAAATTTCTCATAATATGTAAGTGTTCTGAATCCTCAAGTCTGGTGAAAGTTTATAGCCAAATAAAAGCTCTATGGCAGAATTCTAAACAGTGGTCTCTCTCCATGTATTAGTTTCTGCAAATGCTCTAAAGAACACCGGAATCTAGTAATGTCTAGAAATAAGATCTGGTGTGCTGCACAGTGAGTTTGGCTGATTGGAGAAAATTTAAACCATTTTTCAATAAATGTTTAAAGAATGCCTATAATGTGCCAGGCTCTCTTCCAGGCACTTGAGAAACGTTAATGAACAAAATGGACATTCTAGTTGGATATATTTAAACAACAGACATGGCAGTTCCCTAATTTTAGCATACTGATTCAATAAAAGGTGGCCATTGAAAACTTTCCATTCATACCCATAGAGGAAAGGGCTGGAGGGGGTGCCAAAGCAATAGAGCAAGGCAGGGAGCAGGAGACTGCAAGTGTGTGTGAGGAGGGACCCAGAGGCTTCTACAGGAGGGCAGAGCTCCTGCAGATGATGGGGGGAAAGGGAAGAAAGGAGAAAAGGGTGCATCTTCCACTGCACTGGACCACAACTCATTCTCTAACCTTCTCTTGAAATCCTCTCTCACCTTTTCATTCTACCTCCACCACGATTATAGTTTATGCAGGAAGGCAGGTACCACTGAAACTGCCAGAGCTGCAGCCCTCAATCTGATTTATCTGTACCTCCTCCAGGATTTTACCTTTGACCCTGTTCTAAACAGTTCTAATGAGAAAGATTTTACCCACGAGTTACACACAAGTGGATTCATTTGTTAAGCAAAGCAGCAAAGCAAAAGAACAAGCCACAGGTCTCAGTCTTGGTTCTGCTGCTACACCAGTGATCTTGGCAGGTCACTTAATATCTGGAAATCATGGTTTTCTCTTGTACCTGGCTAATCCTTGGGCTCCTGACTGATGTCCTGTTCCATCAAATACATGCATAGAAATGGTTACCTTGGTATTCTTAAATTTTTATTGTAAATATATATATGTCTGCAAATGATGTGAGGAAGCACTAGTCAAACCAAGACTTGTAAAAAACAGACAAATGAGATTGCATCAAACATAAAAGCTTCTGCACAGCAAAGGACACAATCAACAAAGTGAAGAGACAACATACAAAATGGGAGAAAGTATTTGCAAACTTAAGCATCTGACAAGGGGCTAATATCTGGAATGAATAAGGAACTCAAACAACTCAACAGCAAAAAAAACCAAACCAAACCAAACAAACCCAAGTAACCCTATTACATACAAAATGGGAGAAAGTATTTGCAAACTTAAGCATCTGACAAGGGGCTAATATCTGGAACGAATAAGGAACTCAAACAACTCAACAGCAAAAAAAACCAAACCAAACCAAACAAACCCAAGTAACCCTATTAAAAAAATGGGCAAATGAGCTGAATAGACATTTCTCAGAAGAAAACATACAAATGGCCAACAGGTATGTGAAAAAATGCTAAACATCACTAATCATCAGGCAAATGCAAATTAAAACCACAATAAGATATCATCCAATTACTCCAGTTAGAATGGCTATTATCAAAAAGACAGAAAACAACAAATATTGGTAAGAGTGTGGGGAAAAGAGAACTCTCATGTACTGTTTGTGGGAATGTAAGTTAGTACAGCTATTATTATGGAAAACAATATGGAGCTTCCTCAAAAAATTAAAAGTAGAAGTACTATATAATCCAGCAATCCCACTATTGAGTATATATCTGAAAAAAATTAAATTAATGTATTGAGAAGACAACTGCAATCCCATGTTCATTGCAGCACTATTCACAATAACCAAGAGATGGAATCAACCTAAATGTCCATCAACGAATGAATGGGGGGGAAAAAAGTGATATATATATATATATATATATATATATATATATATATACAGAATGGAATACTATTCAGTTATAAAAAAGAATGAAATCCTGTCATTTGCAGGATGGAACTGGAGACCATTATGTTAGGTGAAGAAAGCCAGGCACAGAAAGACAAATACTGCATGATCTCACTCATAAGTGGAATCTAAAAAAAAAAAAAAGTGGTTCTCACAGAAGTAGAGAGCAGAATGGCAGTTACCAGAGGCTGGAAGGGGAGGAGAGAAGAGGTTGGTCAACAGGTACAACAAAGTTACAGTCAGAAAGAATAATGTTCTGGTATTCTAGGGTGACTACAGCTAATAATAGTGTATTGTACATTTCAAAATGGCTAGAAAAGAGGATCTTGAACATTATTACTGCGAAGAAAAGATAAATCTTTAGGCAATGGATATACTAACTTTCTGGAGGGGATCATTATACAACATATGCATGTACTGAAAGAACACACTGTACCCCATAAACATGAACAATTAAATATACAATTAAAAAATATATATATGATCTGATTTATGTAAAAATGATTTGCAATTATGCATACATATACTGCTATAAATATATCAAAAGGGCATGGAAAGATACAGACCCTGTTATTTAAAATGATTGTCTCTGGGAAGCACAGTGTAGGTGGGGAAGCAATGAGACAGGACTTGCAATTTTTACTCTATGGATTTCTATAACGTCAACTTCTTTTGCAACATATATTACTTGTGTCCTAAGAAAAAGACCAAAAAGTTACACATCAACAAGAGTGTATGATCTAGGCTAGAGAAGATGACGATTGTCTTTTATGTGTTATGGGAAAATGTTTCTTGATTTCTTTCCTCAGCCTCTTAAAACTGGTGATACAGAATGAAAAACAAATTTAGAAGAGTAGTTATATGTTGATGGGGGAGAAAGGAAATGTGATTGAGGAAGAATACATGGGAGCTTCAGAGTGTTGGCAATTTTCAATCCCTTAAGGTCCTTGAGTATTTTTATGTTACTATTTCTCTCTCTCTCAAATATATATTATTCTCTATGTTTGATAAGTTCCATAATAAAAATGTGAAAACACAAAAACTAGGCAATATCCATCTATGTACCTTAACCTTATTCCCTTCTCCAAGTTGATTGTGATAGAGTAAGAGACTAATCTGCAAATGTTCTCTGGAATACCTTCTCTGGGCTGAGATTGCGTCCTGGGCGATCCGCCTCTCTTCAGCCCTGGCTTTGTTCACAGCCTCCACCTTCTCCCTGTGGCACTCCATCATAATCCTTTGAATTCTATGGACCATGCGTTGTTCCGCAGCTGAGTGCTCTCTCATCATTTCGTCGTCCATGTTTTTATACATCTCTATCTTGGTTTTAGCTGCCATTATCTTAAGCAACAGCAAAAATAGGTTTAGATATTACAGATTTGAGATTTAAAAATGCACTCTAAGAGGCTACTGAAATCATAGTTTTGTCTACCTTATAGAACATGCACCTGTTAACATTGAGGATTTGAAAGAAGAGTGTATATGATGTAGAAAACTTCATTTATAGATAAGTAAAACCAAAAATATACCGACTATGTAGGATAAATATAGATAGATAGATAATATTGAAAGGGAATATGGAAAAAGGAAAATAGTTGAGTTAGAGGGTAGGGTTAAAGGTCTTTTTTTCCTTGATTGTCCAAATATTCTAGGATGTACTATCATTATACACAATTAGTAATACATAACACAATTCAACTGTAGTAAATAAGTCCAGGAAGATGGCAGAAATAATTATTATGCCTCCTAACTGTCTCCTGGGTAGGACTGAACCTGAGACTCCAGGCAGAGAACAGTTGCACATTATTGCAGTCACAGGAAGTTGCTTGCCAGTCTGACTGTTGTTGGAGCATTCCAGCTAATTAGTGTTGAGGGGCCCTTTCTCGTTCGTGGAAGGGACTGGAACAAGAGCTCCACTGCCCTGGGGAAGAGGATCTACAGATGGCCTTTGACCAAATAATGAGAGGAAGCACTAGTATAACCAAGACTTGCAGAAAACAGACTCACAAATAGTCCTAAAAGAAAACCCTGTCACCAATTTGGAAATGCCTACTAACTCCACAATGTGCCCAGGTGCTACAAACACAAGAAGGCTGGGATCCTTGTCAGGGGACTCACTGTCTAGTGGAGGAGACCAACAACCTAATCATGCAAGAAGTATTGTAACAGAAATATATGCAAGAAAAGAGGAGCAATGAATTCTGTCCAGGAGTTTTAACACTGTCATTTAAAAATAAATTTTGATCTCTATTTTAGACATCAATAGAATGCAAAGAAATTTAGTTATTTCACTGAAGAACTAGGGATATAAACAAGGATTCTCAACTGCCACTTCATTGCTTGCAGTGAAACTGGAATCCTTCCAGAGATTCACCAATTTATTTTCATTCCAGAGACACTGTACAGTCATACAAGGTAGAGTAGTGGGTTTTCCTCATCTCTTTTTTTTTCACTTTTTTAAAAAATAGATGCAGAATCCCTTCCTCAAATGACATCTGACCCAGAGTGAAAAGGAATAAAACCAGAGTTCTACTGGCTGAAGATCACTCAACACCCTTTAACACCATTTCTGTGGGGGCTCCTGAGGGAGTCAGCTCAGCTCCATTTACAGTGTATCCAGAGAGAATTCTCAGGGGAAGCTGAGAGTCAAGAGAATGCTAAGTTTCAAGGGAAACTGAAATTGCTTTTAGTTTCTTAGAAAAATATTTCAACAATTAAAATATTTCTTAGACAGACCTTAGCTTTTTCAAGAGAGGGAAAGTTTTCAACTTCTCACGTTGGCTACTCCAAGGGTGAAAAAAAAAAAAAAATGAAACAGACAACAGAAATCAATTTTAAAAAAATCTCCAGAATGGCCTTCATTCATGTATTTAGAAAATCTTTTTAGAAAAAACATTACATGTTTAGAAATATTAGCTGGTTTTTCTACACTGCATAAGGCTTTGTCTCTTAAATCATTACAATTTTTTAATAAAATATTTTGAATGGAAATGTTTCTAAATGTCTTTAACACTTACCTTACTTCATAATAAGAATATAATGAAACACTCTAACATTTTGTTGATGATCTGGGTTCAGTAGACAAAGATGAATAATTGCACTGGGCTAAAAACTTCATATGGCACTTAATAATTGTTCAAGTTCATAGGACCATTTGTCTCTGTCACAAATAACTCCAGACTGCTTTGCTTTTTGATATTTGTTATCTGCTTCTTGTAATTTTTCTTGTTCTTCCCTCGCCATCAGGCTGAGGACTCCCTGTTCTGCTATCAGTGAGCTCCTTTTTGTCATTTCTAGTTTCCAGAATTTAATCTATTTTAGATTTGAAAAATCAAGTCCGTTGGGTTCAGGTTGTCAAGCAAGTGTAATACCTGTGTGTAATGATATCTGCATACATGTGGGATGGAGAGATACTGCTAGGGGTAATAATCCTGAGTTTTTCTCTTGTAGTCAGAGGCCTTTATTTAACACGTCAGGGGATATTTTAACTTATTTCTGGGTTTTCAGGTATATTTTTAGTAATTGAGACTGCTGGGTGTTTGAGCTTCAGATAGGTGAAGTGTTATCATAATATATTGCTACTCGAATCACAGAATTTAAAAGGGAGATATCAGCCCTTTATTTTGCCTAGGTTCTGAACCAGGATTCAGAGAATTAAACTCAGTCCCCCTTTTATGTAATGATTTAGTAAAACAAAAATCATTTTACTGCTTCACATGTGTCATACATATTTGAAGTTCCAAAAATAATTCAATAATCTACTGTTTGGCAGCGTTATTCAATGTAAGGTCTCCCCATTTGCTTTTACTGAAATGCATTTTGAGTGAGTCGGCCCACATTTTGAGATATTATAAGAAACAGCTTTATGAACTCTATCATGTTTACTGTACAGATGTTCGACAGGCATTTTTCACACAATGTCTCCCACAGAAGTTTCTCTCAGGTGTCACAGCTAGGAACATCTGAGCCTCTCCTGAGTACTTGCTTTGTTTTTACCTTATGCTCATGGTAACTCATGGCATTTTCCTCTTTGCACTGCCTGCCAGAAAGCTCAAGGCCCAGTTAGTGATAATTGTACAGAACTTCATGGCATACAAACATTTTTAAGTTTTAAATTCACCCATGACTTCATTATATTTCCTACTTTACTTTTTCTTTTCTTACTTTCCCTTAGTTTCCATTTTCTCATTTACTTTTTGATATTATCTTTGAATAAGGTAATATAAACATCTTTTCAAAATAGTATCTATCCATTGGATAAGATACTGAAATTTTAACAGCATGCATTGGGACATCCCTAACTCCTAACATTATATGAGAACAATACCTGGTGGTTTCTACATATTAGAATTTAATGATACTTGGTTCCAGAAGAACTTGGTTTTCTGCTGTATACTGGAAATCTCAAACTTTATTATGTGTGAAAAATCACTTCAGCTGCTGATTGAGTCTGTAAGTTAGGGTGGGGTCCAGGAATCTGCATGTTAAGCTCCAGGTGAATAGATTCTGATGTGGATGGTTTATAGGCACCCCCTTGAGAAGCAGTACTAATGTCTATGTCTGGGTATCCTACAGACACAACAGGTTAAAATAATAACCCTACACACCACTATTAAACAAGTCACTCCTTCATACACAAAAAATGTTCCTGAGATGTCGGTATAAAGGTAAATTCCCAACTCCTAGACCAGGATTTCAGAAAGGTCAACCTCCAACTTTTTCCTTTTAAATTTTCTCAGGACTTCTTTCTACTGAAGCACTAAGTGCATCAACTCCACCCAGAGGCTATATGGGGCATAATCAAATTGCATAAAGAAAGACCAGGATGTGGATTTCTTGAAACAGGCATCACCTTTTCCTTATATCTTCATAACCTAATGCCAGGAGTGATATTCAAAGTGTGTATCCACCAGTACCACTAGGGGCCACTGGTCTGAAAGGCCCCTGGCTGCAGCATTAGAGTAGGGTCCTAGAGCCCCCTGCCAAGCCATTAGCTATACCTTTAACTTACTGTTTTGAGAGAGGTCCAGAGGTCTGGGGGGAAGCGACTAAGGTGACAGTGGTGTCAGAGGGGTTGGAGGGTGGCTATTTATTAACCGATAGAGATATATTTCAATATTTTAATTACTGGTATGGCCATTCTGGTTCATGTCAGCTGAATAGCAGGCCTAAGACATGCTTTAAATACTCTCCACATTTTGAACTGAAGTAGGGGATGGGCAGTGTGGGCCACTGCAGCCAAGCCCTCAGAGACCATGATGCCTGGTTGAGGTAGGCCACTGGAAACAAGAAGGGAGTATCCCACTGTCTTTTAGGAACCCTAGGGAGGATTCCCTTTACCTGCCAGCAAGTCCTCTTAGGGCAACGACAGTCCATTTAATCTTCCCTAGCACAGATCTAATATATGGTAGGTGCTTATTGTTGAAACAATAAATAAATGGGCCCATAATACCCGAGCTGTTTATTAGTTATGTTCTTATTAAGTTAGGACACACCTGGGGCTGGGACTCTGCCACTTTCCTCCAGCCTCTGCCCGTGTATCATCACACCTGCACTGTTCCATCCTCTCCCTCCCTTGGCCAAAATGTGAAAAGAGTTCTTTACTTTTTCCTTTGAGCAGACTTCATAACCGAGGTACTGAACTAAACAATGAATCCTGGAGCCTCTGCCTGGAAAGTTTACTAGTAACCTAGAGTCATATGCTTGAACAGGTTACAGGTTAGAAAGAGTTCCCCTCATCTTGTGACCTATGGTCCTGCAGGAAATACTTGAAGAACAGCTCAGATGTTCCTCTTGGTAGTGCAGTAAATGCAAGTTTAGAAAGAAGGATGCAATCAGAGAGCCCAGGAAAAAGAAGAGAACAGCCTGCTCCATTTGTGCAACAACTACTTGAGCACCTACTAATTCAAGGCACTGTGCTGGTGGGCACAGGCCTAGTACCGTAAAGAGATGGACGTGCTGCAGTCATGCAGCAGAGTGAGACACTAAACAAGTGATTGCACAATCAATTATTTAATTGCAATAGTGATGACTGCTATGAAAGAGATCAGGGTGTCATGGATAGTGTGTGGGTGGCAGGGTTGGGTAGACCTTCCCTGGGGAAGTAAGTTACAGGGTTCTCCTTCACCCACTTATCACTGCTTAATAGAGCTCCGTGTCTCTTCTGTGAACCTCAGGGGCCTCCTAACCAACCTCTATGAAACACCAACTTAGATATTATTATTTTTTCATTCCCTTGCCAACTTAAGTACTTTATTATATACTTTTTTTTAACTAAAGTACTAAAGACAACAAACAAGCCAGTATAAAAAACCTGTAAATCTTTCTGATGTTCCTCTTCCAAAATGTGAATTTCAATTTTGTGTCTGGCATTTGCTTCTTCAAGTGCTTTCTCCACTGCTTGTTTTTGGAGTTCATTAGCCTTTGAAAGAAAAAGTCCATTTATCAATTAATACATCAGGATGAACATAGGGCAACCCATCATTATTTGGGATGTTGGTAAATCAGGTTTTCAATATTTTCAGTTTACTGAAAATTAGCAACCACCATGGTGTCCCTGATTACTTGCTTCATTCCTGTCTCAAACCTCCCATAGCAAACTAGCTGCCTTAGCCAGTGATGCCATAACACATCCCCAGCCTTGGCTAACGTCGCTGTTTAGGGAATTGCTAAACACAGGACAGCTTTAGAGTATTGTAGGCTGGTGGGTTGTCTTTTCTCTTTGGCACTTTATTTCTTTCTTAGTTGACTATCAAAGTAATACATGCTCATTGGAGAAAATCTGGAAAACAGAGGAGTGAAAAGATAAAGCTGGGTAAAAGTAAAAGATAAAGCTAGTTTTGTAAAGCTAGGAGGAGCTGAGTAGAAAGGTTGAGTACCATCCCAGATCCCGTGTGTCAGGTCTTCAGAAAGAAGTTTAATTACTTTAGGTGAAGAGAATACCCAGAACACTAGATAAACTTACATTCAAATTGTGGACTATTCAAAATAACATCCCCTTGTGAAGAGAATACCCAGAACACTAGATAAACTTACATTCAAATTGTGGACTATTCAAAATAAGAATATAATGAAACACTCTAACATTTTGTTGATGATCTGGGTTCAGGGTATTAGGGTATACAATAATTGATGGATCACAATTTGAATTTTATTACTAATAAAAATAGATGACTACTAAGATTTTGATGCATATTATCCTTTGCACTAGAGTATTTTGTGCATTCAAAATACTTTCATACAATGCATTTGCTGGCACTAATACTGGACAATTCCAGTAATATTTGCTATAATGTCCATTTTGTAATGAAACAGAAGTAATCTAAACAATGTGGCTTGATCTATGCACATGGCTTGTCCTGCCCTCAGAGAACTTTAATTCTCTTCAGAAAGTCACTCATTGTTATTCTATCTATGATTGGAAGAAGTGAGAGCTGTAGAATTGAGGCTTTGCTTCAGTTTGATGTCTTGGATCCCACTGTGAGCCCCAATATTCAAATTGGCCTTATGGCACTCAGCAGCCATAAGAACCCCCAGCAGTCAGGAGGACAAGGTATCAGGATTTTTGAGAGAGGGGCTGAAAAGGGTAGTAGGCCAGGATGAAGAATTGGGAAAAAACAAGCACTTAGTCCAGGGTCATTACATACTGCACAAATGGATGGCCTATATATTAAATGTTGGCCATAATAAACAATTATCAACAAGGGTGTATTCTTGTACCCTTTTTTCTTTTCTTTTTAGTTCTGGTTTTTAAAAGGAGAACAAAGCAAGCAGGAGTCATCCATATAGAGAGGGTGATTTAGAAGGCAGAAAGTTCCTGATGATGCCTGTTACTTACTAAGCACCTACTGCATGCCATGCACATTATTTCATTGAACTGTCTCAATGATCCTATAGAATGGGTATTATTATTATTATTCCTCTTTCACAGATGAAGAAGCCAAGACTACAGAGATTGAAGAACTTGACCAAGATCTCACAGCTAACTGGGATCAAGTCAGTTCTGTCTGACTCTGTAATCTGTGCTCTTGAGTACTATGCTATATTATTACTTCAGACAAATCCAAAATATGAAGGAAGTGGAAAGATGTATTTTAGGTTCATTTCTAATTTCTTTTACCTGAGTCCATACTTCAGCTTCTGCTTTTGCAATACGCTGTCTGAGCACAGCCTCTTGAAATTGCTTTTCCTTATTCAGAATATTTGCCCCAATATCTGTATGTTTGAAGAGAAATGATCACAAATCTCAAAGACTGTTTCTGGCTTTCCATTCCACCATTATTTAGTTATTTATGAGTGCTACCTAGGAGATATATCCTTTTAGGAGACATCAGTCTTTTCTTTAAAGATACCCATTGAAAGGGTAAGTTTTCCCCTAACTCATTAGGAGGGAACTCACAGCACTGTTGGGCCTGGAGAGTCAGCTGTTCTCCTCATCACACCTGGTCCATGCAGCAGGCAACCGGGGAAGTTAAATAAATGCCCCGCAGAAAGGGGCACATTTTGTACACACAAAGTAGAAAGGCGAGCGAATATTCAAGAGATGTTAGCACATGATGCAGTTCCCCTTGCCGGCTCCTGTCTGTTGCGGTGCTACCTCCATCAGGAGAGTGGAAGCAGAATGCCTTCTTTGACACATACCTTCAGTGTCTGGGTTTTCCTGTCTTCAGTGTCTGGGTTTTCCTGGGTTTAACAGCTTCAGTTTGGGAGTAAGCTAAGGGGTAGTATTTTATTATTTCTCTGTCAATGATCTAACTTGATTTTCAAATAATAATATTCCCCTAATAACATCCTCCATACCCAGACAAAGAAATGAAAGTCTAGAGAGGTTAGAGGGCCACACAATATCAGATAGCTAGGGACAGAGCTGGATGTGGAACCAAGATCTGAGCTCCTTGAGCTGGGCACAGGGTTTCTCCATTTTTTCCCATCAGAGTGTGTTGTCAGAGTTGGCTCCCAAACTGTTATGGGAATGACAGGCCCTTTGGGTCCTGAAATCACACACAGTGATCTTTCTCTCCAATCAAAACTCTTATAGTATTTATTCTTCATTCCACTCATTTTCCACATATTAGACTTGTTGAATCATTTTCATGCAATCAGGTCATGATCAACTCCCTAAAATTACAAAGCACATCTTATTCTGCAGTGTATCTCTCATGACGCCAAGTTTGGCAACAGCACAGATAAGATGTGTGCTTGCCTGCTCAACATCTCTTCTCTCCTTCGGGCAATAGAATCCATTTCTCTCAAGAAATTCCTCCCTCACTCCTGGTTGCTCTGGTGGGACTGCCAGTCGCAGCACCCAGCCTTCTTGGCCCTTTTTACTTCTTCCTCCAGGACACAATAATTGGCTCAGGATTAGGCACACCTCAAGCCTGGTCAAGCAGGCTCTTCCCTGGGATTTTATATAAGGGTGTAAGGAAAACATAGCTCTTTTTCCTCTGGGATATCTAGCTGGAGGTAGTAGATGCTTAGAGTTATTTGGATCCACATGCCTCCCTTCCCAGCTGCTAGAGTAAGCCTAGCTGCAATAGTGAGCCATTAAGCCAACTCGCTAAGACAGTAAGCATAGACAGATTGAAAGCCCTGACACTAGAATCCCCTTGGGTTTCTCTGTTAAAAGGGTCAAGAAATTCCATTTTATACATAGTCTATTCTGAGTTGTGTTTCTGTCATCTGCAATTGAAGAGTATATGTTTGGTGGCATATAGTCTCAGCTACTAGATCATCAGTAAGTCTTAAAACATAGGTCAGTAATTCACAACATGGAGGAAGTTAGAGAAAATTATGTTAAATGAAATAAGCCAGGCACAGAAAGAGAAATGCCACATGTACTTACTCATAAATGGGAGCTAAAAACCAAAAAACAACAAACAACAACAACTAATAAATAAAAGATACAACGATCATAATAAATCATAATAATACATTGAACTTTCAAAAGGAGAGAACAGAACTGAGGTTACCAGAGGTGGGAAAGGGGGAAGGGGGTTAGTGAGAAATTGGGAAAGGGCTCTAAAAAATGATTACATTGTGTAATGTTGAATATACTAATTAACCTGGTTTGAGCATCACATATTACACACAGTTACTGATATTCAATGCAGTACCCCATAGATATGTACAAACAATTATGTTTCAATAAAAAAATAAATGAAGTAAAAATGTTGACTTCCAAAAAAATCCCCCCAAAAACCAAAAAACATAAGGCAGTGAATACTATGGTATAGATGAACACATACTGTAAAAGCCCAACATCGTGTACATAGAATTATGAAAGATCTTCTAGGAAGAAATGTGACTAAGCATGGACCATCCGTTTGTTGAACTTCATAAAAATCTGATACAAGTGTAAGCTGTTGTTACTCCTTTTTCTGCTTAAACTCCATTATTTTATATTAGTTGTTCTCAAATCCAATTGTACAACAGGATTCCTGTAGAACTTTTTAAAAGAGCACATGCTGAAAAAGGAACAACTATTAATACAAACAACAATTTGGATGAATCTTAAGGGTATTGTGCTGAGTAAAAAACAGCCAATCTCAAAGAGTTACATACTGCATGATTCTGTTAGGTAGCATTTTCACAGTGACAAAAATTATGGAGACAGAACAGATTATTGGTTGCCAGGGGTTTGAATTAGGGAATAAGAGTGTGACTGTTAAGGGCTAACACAAGTGAGTTTTTTCTGGTCTCAAAGAGTTACATACTGCATGATTCTGTTAGGTAGCATTTTCACAGTGACAAAAATTATACAGACAGAACAGATTATTGGTTGCCAGGGGTTTGAATTAGGGAATAAGAGTGTGACTGTTAAGGGCTAACACAAGTGAGTTTTTTCTGATGGTGATGGAACAGTTCAATATGCTGATTGCGGTGACAGTTACAATAATATACATATGTAATAAATTTCATAAAACTATATAACAAGGAAAAAAGTGCATGTAATGTCTGTATCTTAGTTAATGGCATTGTAATGCCAATTTCCTTTTTTGGACAATGTATCAGGCTTATGTAAAATATCAATGGAAGAAGCTGGATGAAAGGTACATGGGAACTCTCTGATCTATTTTTGCAACTTGTGAATCAAACTATTTCAAAATAAAGTTATTAAAAAGTGTGAGAAAAAAATACATATGCTGAGGACTGACCCTGGAGGTTCTAATTTAGTAGGCCTGTGTCAGGTTAGTACTAAATCCAGTGGGTCTGTGTGTTTGGATATTAAAAATGAATTTTTCAAAGTTCTATAGTGCAGTGCTAGGGCTGAGAACTACTGTCCCATGAAATACTCATTAGCTCTATAGATATTTCAACATGCTTTTGATACTACTTATAAAGAACAGATTTTTGACTGTCTTGACTTAAAACAGTTCAATGACAGATATGGGTCACTGAATATAAAAGATTAATTTCTAACTAGATCAATTTAACATCCACTTAATCTTCCGATTAAGATATCCTATAAGGCACAATGAGTCAATCATTGAGGTACATCTAAGAATGGAGATACACTGTCCTGGGTATAAAATGTCAAGTCATTTTAGAGATTATAATTATTAATTCATACTAAGCATTTACTAAAAGTTAAAGTGAGTTTTGGTATTGATATTTCAAGAGGATGATTCTAATTTGATCTCACCCTGCATTTTAGTTTTTTTTTTTGAAACACCCTCCACTCTCTAGCTTCCTATATTTTTGAAGATCAGGAGTGAAATCAAATCACCATTAGTTTACCATGTTAAAGGAAGAGAGGATCAGAGAGGTATTCTGAGAGTCCTTAGGAAAACACTTATAAGGCTCAAAGTCAGATTGGAAACTTGTATGAGGATAAAAGAGAGAAGGAACCTGTAATCACAATTTGATTTGCTTATTTATTACATACACATGTATAACAAATATCTCATGTTATCTATAATTATTTACTTTTATGTCATCAGGTACTAATTAAAGGTAATAGTTTCTTTCACTCATTTATTATGATATTATTTAGAGCTCTTTCCTCTTCTACATGTATGGAAGGTCCCGTCTTAGTCTGTTTTGTGTTGCCAAAACAGTATACCAAAGACCAGGTAAGTTATGGAGGTTGGGAAGTCCAAAGTTGAGGGGCCACATCTGGGGAGGGCCTTGGTGCTGCATCATCCCGGATAGAAGGCAGAAGAAGGTCAAGAGAGCACAAGAGAGCAAGAGGGCCAAACTCACTTTTATAACAAGCCCACTCTCATGATAACTAAACTACTCCCACAATAACAACATTAATTCATTCATGAGGACAGGTCTTTCATAATCTAATCACCTCTCAAAGGTCATACCTCTCAACACTGTTGCATTGGGGATTAAGTTTTCAACACATGAACTTTGGAGCTATATTTAAACCATAGCAGTGGTTTGAATGTGGTCAAGGGTGAAAATAACTCACATATACTATTATGTGCCAGGCTTTATCATAGGTACAAATATTTCACTAAAGCCTCATAACAACCTGCAAGATAGGTGTTAATGTCCTTACTTACATATAAAGAAACAGACTGAAAGGCTACATACCCTATCCAATGCATATAATAGGTAAGTGGGGAAGCTGGATTCCAATCCACATTTTTTTCATGCCAAACAGATACCCCTGTAGGGACAAGCAACTCTGAACAGAGAAAAGCTGATAAAAGCATATGCAACAGGAAGAATGACATATAATGCTATGAAACATTAGAACAAAGGAAAATAATGAAGTCACTTACCCAGTATATCTTTGTGAGTGTAAAAGCGTGTCTTAAATGGCTTGTATTCATGGATCCGTTTGAAAGTTTCTCCAAAAGGGGCTGGTGGAATTACTTTATTACAAACAGCACAGCAAACAAAGTTTGTGTAATCTGGATTTCTGATCATAGCTAAATTTCGGATGTCCTACTTTTTTACTATTAAATAATGTTAGGATCAGAAAAAGTAGTTTTAAGAAAAACTAGAAGTTTAAGAAAGCTAGAAGAAGTTCAGGGTTTTAGGACAATGCTAGAGGCTGGTAAGGATTAAATGATTTGCCATGATTAGGTGGTGGTTATGTGCCTAACATAAAAGAATGGTACTAACAGCCTCCACCATATAAGTATGGGCACTGGGTTTGGGAAGATTTAAGCAGTTGCTCCCTCCCAGATTCTAGCTTGAAGTTGTTAACTTACTTAGCAACTGTTGCTAGGTAAGACAAGCTTTGCTCATAAAAGCAACTTGAAATAATAACAAAAGAGTGAATGATGCAAGCATTCATTTTTCTGATACTTTCTGTATTAGTTTCCTATTGCCACTGTAACAAATTAACACAAACATCATTGCTTAAATACAACACAAATTTATTCTCTTGCATTTCTAGAGGTCAGAAGTCTAAAATGAGTCCTATAGGGCTAAAAATCAAGATGTCAGCAGCGCTGGTTCCTTCTGGAGGCTTTAAAGGAGAATGTTTCCTTGCCTTTTCCAGCTTCTAAAGGCCATCCATGTGAAAGAAAGTGAGCCGAGATGCTGGGTACCATTCAAGCTTTATTAAAGAAGGAAATCTGCTGGGCTGTGCTCAAAGTGGCAGGCAGCCCAGGGCTGCCCTGAAAAGGGGACAGCACCAGGTGTGGGGGTGGTAGAGCTTGTATAGTGTGTCAAGGGCTGGCTGATACCATCATGGAGGGTCATTATGCTAATGTGGATTGGTGTGGGGAACTGCATCCTTGAGGAAGCAAAAGGGGTTTCTGTTTAAGTCAGGAGGCTTCTAGTAAAGGGAAGGGGGAGGGGAGGGGTGAAGGTGGCGGCACCATTTTGTACTTGGGCTTGTCTAAAGTGGCACTGGTTATGTTGCAGATCTATTATTCCTGCCTTTTAAGTATAGGAAAAAAGGAAAAGGGAGGAGGTCTCATTTTTCTGAAGCTACTTCCTGCTGGAGATGGGTGAAGATATGGAAAAAATAAAAGACTTATGATGGCGGGTAAAACAATTAGGTGTTGGGGTACTGGTTTCATGTGGGGAAGCTGTATTCTTCTGGGGAAGGGTCACTGATTCTGAGGGGCTGATATCCTCCCTGTAGGAACAATTTGGCAAACTTTTGGTTGGCGAAAGCCTGTATACATTCCTGCAAGAAATTAGAGAAACACCGAAAGAGACAGGGACCAAAAAGTAGGATGAGGCACAGGTAGGGGTCCTAGTAGGGACATGAGCCAGGGTATCCAAAGGTTCAGTGAAATGGTTTAAGTTGTTTTGGATCACCCTGGACTCATTTACATAATCTTAGTTCTTCTGAGAGTTTTTGATAGAATTGAGAGGCAGCATTAGTTCTTCTGAGAGTTTTTGATTTTGATAGAATTGAGAGGCAGCAGCAGGGCCCACTATGCCAGTTCCAGTTGCAGGAAGGATCCCTGCCCCAATTAAAAAGGCACAATTAGTGCCCTACAGGAGCAGGGGGCACTTCCTGAGAAGGGGGCCGAAATTACTCCCAGTCCTGTCTCCATCTCTCCATCTGTCTGGAGGGTGATGTCAGTAACAAGCCAAAAGAATATGCAAGAAATCGCGTTGGGGGGAAGGCAACTGGATAACGTGGTTTTACAAAGGAAATATATTCCAGTTTTAGGGGATGGATGATGAGGGGGTGAGTGGCAGCGTTTGGTGGGGTTAGTGAGGCAGAGTGTGGGCAGGCCCCGCACAATGCTGACAGTCCTCACTGAGGTGAGATTAGAGGGAAGTGAAGAGACGTTTGTGGAAACGTTGCGGGCTGCATCGACAGGGAGGGGGGTGACCACAAAACGTTTCTTGTGAAGTGGGAGACAGATGAGTCGTTTGGGGACCAGTCTGATTTGCTGAGGACTGCATCATCCCTGCAGACCTGGAACCTCCATGTTCCAGGTAAGGGGGAGCATTGAGATAAGAGGAAAAACACGGCAAGGGTGCGAAGGGTTAGGGAGCCCAAAGAATTTAAAGGGGACGTTGCCACAGTGAAATTGCTAAGAAGCATCCTACCAATAGGAGGTAAAGGAGTGCCTGAGAAATCTTCCTATAATGTTACACTCCTTTGGGGCAGCACTGGCCAATCCTGTAGCAAGTACTAGAACAGATAGTATAATAGTAGCTCTTGTGTGAAGGACGTGGAGCGGGCCTGCACGAGTGAGAGGATAATCGCCGGGGGAAAGATCATCTTTCTTCTGGGACTGAGGGAAGAGTGAAGGTCCTGGAGACTTTTAGTTTTGTGGGTCCTAAAATGTACGAAGTGTGAGGAGATGTTGGGTTGGGGGTTGAGCAGGGGGACCCCTCTGGCTTGGTGTTAACAGATTCTTGGGTAAAGTCTCAGGCGTTAGTTTTACCAAGGATAAGTGATACCAAGGGGCCTTTCTTAGCACTTTTACTGCCGTGGGGGTGGCGAGAAGTACTGTATAAGGCCCTTCCCAACGTGGTGAGAGAGGCTTTGGGATTCAGGTCTTAATATACACTTGCTGTCCCAGGCTCAGTTTAAAGTCTGAGAGGGTGGTGAGGAAAGGATGGGGTAATAGAAGGTTGCTCTGTTCCCTAAGATCCCTAATGAGCGAAAGAGTAGGGAGATACTGGCCTAAAGGCGATGAGTTGTAAGGGAGAGGTGTGAGAGCGAAGGGCCTGCCATACATCAGTTCGAGGGGGCTGAGGCCTGTGGACTTGTGGGGGGCAGCCTGTAGGCGAGTGAGTGACTGGTGGGTAGGCCAAAATGAGGGATGATTTCTGAGGCGAGAGCATGCGTTACTCCTGTAGCATCCTCTGAAGTGCAGGGAAAAGCCTCAATCCAACCTGAAAAGGTATCTACTAAGGTTAGAAGATAGTATGTCCTTTTGTGGGGAGAGTAATATAAGGGCTGAAGAAGGCATAGTAGGGGTTTATAGCCTATATGAACTGAATTATGGAAATCTAAAAGGATTTACTCAGCTTGTGTGGTAGGGAGGACATAGCAACTGGAGAGAGTATACCAGTTGTCCTTTCTCTATGACCCCAACCGTTGGAGGTGTTGTATTTCTTGGGGTGTGTATTGGGATAAGGGCATAGGGGCCATGAGAAGGACCTGAGTAGGAGAGGAAGAGTGGGGGCCTGGTGACTGAGCAGCCTGTTTTGCGGTTAGATCTGCCAGTTTGTTTCCCTGGGCTATGGGGTCTTTGGAGGTTTGGTGTCCTCTGCAGTGTATAATCCCAACCTCCTTTGGGAGCTGTGCAGCTGCAATAGCTTGTGATAGATTTACTATGGCATAACCTGCTGGGGGGGTGGGCGTAGAGGTGGCACTCCCATCTGTGAACAGTGTAATGGGATGTGGGGAGATGTGAGGAAAGGGATTGAGAAAGAGGTCTAAAACCTCCATGCAATTGTGTTCTAAGGGTCATTAGTGTTTTGGGATGAGAGTGGCTGGATTTTAAGGGAGGGCAAGGTTTAAAGGAGAACTGGGAGTTTTCAATGAAAGTAAGGTAAATAAATTGTAGGCAGGAAAGGGAGAGAATTGACTTGGTCTTATGGCTGAGAAGGTCTTGACTGCTGTTTAAAAGTTAGTTTAGAGCTTTCTTATGCTTAAAGCTTAGCTGCTGCAAAGGCCCATAAACAGGGGCCCATTCTTGAGATGTGGTGTCTAGTTGTTTAGAGAGGTATGCAACCAGGGAGAAAATATCTCCTGCTTTTTGTCCCAAACACTGACTGCCAATCTTTGGGTTTTGGTGACGTATAGGATAAAAGGATGAGATAGGTTTGGGAGAGATAGAGCTGGGGCTGTGAGGAGAGCAGCTTTTAATCGCTGGAAGGGAGAATGAATGAGCTTTGTGGGATCTAAAGGAAAGGCAGTATCCCCTTTGGCTGCCTCATAAAGTGGTTTTGCTAGCATGCCAAAGTTAGGAATCCATAGGCGAAGATACCCTGCAAGCCCCAAGAAAGAAAGGATTTCACCCTTTGTGTAGGAGTAGGGAGTTCAGAAATTAGACTCTTGAACTGAAGGAAAAGAAATTTGGGCCTTGCTGGGGGGCACTTGATATACCCTGGAAGCCAGCAAATTAAGGAGAGCAACAGTGTGGGCCTTTGAATCCTCATAGGAGGGGCTACAAAGGAGCAGGTCATCCACATATTGTATTAAAGTGTTAGAGGTTGGGGGAAGTTCAGATCAGTGTAGAGCTAAGGCCTGGCCAAAGAAGTGGGGGCTATCCCGAAACCCCTGAGGTAGTACTGTCTAGGTGAGTTGTTGGGAACAACGTTTGTTGGGATTAGTCCTGTCCTAAATGGTATGAGCCCTTAGGCTTTATAAACGGAAGGATAGGTATAAAGGCGAGCAGGTAGGCTGTGAAAGAGGAGAAGAAAGGAGTTTGTGTACAATGAGTTTTAAGCCTATTAAATGTTTGTTAGTGATGGGGTACTGTGGGACATGAGGGAACAAAGAGGGGTTCAGTAATTTAACAAGGATAGAGGAATGGTGCATAGCAATGGAGGCAGAAGAAGCATCACATACTAGGGATTAACCTTGCTCGAGGGGGAGGGGAAGGTGGAAGCCCCAGGGGCCAGGTCTGGGGTGACCTGTAACAGGAGTATTGTAGCTGGAGTTAAAGTGTTTAGGGTACGAGTAGCTTTGAATTTGAAAAGAATGTCCCATCCCAGTAAGGGGGCTGGGCATTGAGGCATTATTAAGAATTTGTGTGTGAATTGGGTGTGATGTAGGGTGCAGGAAAGGGCTTGAGTTATCCGTGGTATTCTGATCCCGTTACCCCTACTATTGTGATAGAGGACGGGGTTGTTCGTCCTGCATACTTAGGAATGGTAAAGTAAATGGCCCCTGTATCAATGACAAAAGAGATTGGCTTACCTGCTATGAGGCGAGTTACCCTGGGCTCATGTGTGGTGATCTCTGTGGGGGCCTCGGGCCCTGGGCATCATCAGTCCTCCTCCTGGGCAAAGCCGAGAAGCTCCAGTAGGGATAGCTGTGAAGCCAAAGGCTGTAGGTTGGGAACTGGGCCACTCCCTCTCTGGTGAGTGGCATAGTCAATCCCCCAGTAACCTGGCCATTTGTAGTGAGGACAGGTTATGACAGGCCCGTGCCCAGTGGCCCAGTTGACCGCATTTGAAGCAGTTCTCGGGTGGCTTGCCCATAGAGATAGCTGGCTTTGGAGTATGGGAGCCTCG